TGTTTGAAACTTCGAAAAGGTCGGTCATGGGACATTTGAAAGAAATTAGCACAGTGAAGGGAAGGACCCCTTTAGCACAGGGTGCAGCAGATGTCTGCAGAAGCAGATAGGGATTAGAGGAGCATTGGCAGGTCTTAAGTCAGACCTGGGATTCCTGTTGTGCTGGGATGGGAGGGAGCATTATAAATGGAAACAGTTGCAGTGGGCAGGTGAGGAAATATGTCATTTGTGGGATGTAGGAGACTCTTCCTCCATAAACCTACAGATGGAAAACCCTTCCAACACTGGATTATTCTGTGCTGTTCTGTGGGGAACTTTCTGTTCCCTGCTGCCAAAGATAAGTTGCATTTTCAGGTGTCAGAAATGGTGGAACAGGTGTCATACACAATCTCCTCTACTCAGATAGATCTTACTACCCCAGTATTTTCACAAATTGTACCTTTATGACAATGTTTATGCTTTCATAAACTGTTTTCTTCCCTCTGTGTATTTGCAAGGCAATAAATTTTAATTTTGTTGGAGCATGTTTCTTCTTTTTTCTGATACAGTTTCTAAGTCTGAAATTTAAATATATCAGGTGGGAATTGCCAGGTTTTGCAGTTATGGGCGGGACACAGACTTAGTCTCCTGATCCTCTGATGCTTGAGATACAGGCAAACCCACCCATGCAGACTATTATATAAAATGACGTGTTTGGCACCTTTACCCAAAGGACTGTCTAGCTGGAAGGTGTCTGTGAGCCGAACACCTCCGAAGGTGGTACTAGTGGAAAGGTGACACCTGTTCCTTGGAAGCTGAACATGGCAGCAGTGGGTTCAGAGCTGCTTGAAGACAGAAAGGAAACCTCTGTAAAGGCTGTGTGAGCAACCACATACTTAAGGCTGTGACATGAGCTCTGGCATATTTTGCTGCAGTGGTTAAGGGCTGTTCCGAACTGTCTTCCCTGTTGGATGTTGCTACTTGCAGTACAGTCAGCAGGGCAGAGCAATGCGCCAGCACCTTAGCTAAACTGGTTCAGTTTCACGTAGCTTAAGTCTATGTAGAGTAATATGAATTGCTTCATTTGGTAGGGGAGAGAAGTAAGACTCTGCCGAACTTAATCCGTTCTTCTCTGCAGCATTCCTGTGAATGCTATTGAAATGTTTCATTTTACAAGCAAGTGAAATGTCTCATTTGGACATGTGTAATAGGTGTTGAAATAACACCCTTCCATCAATATTTGAGGTCAGGATGTAACAAGCCACTGAGTGTTCTTCTATTCCAGGTAATACGTTTGGAAATTTGTATCAGAAATTAATGACCCATTTATATAAGGGATTCTGTAGTATTTTTTTCTTTCATTCCTTGTTTGTGGAAGTCCTGTCTGTATGACATGCAGTGACATTTCAGGACCACAAATACAAGCCAGAGATGTGGAGAAAGACAAAGCATGTAAGCTGACATTCAAGCTGAGAACCTCTCATATACAGCATGTTTTGTGCATTATAAATTTAGTGCTTCTGTTAATTTAATCTTGGCCACTGCAGAAAATTTTCTGTAGAAGATCTTTCTCCAAATGTTTTTTTTTGTGTGTGTGCATGCTGTTAGTGACATGCAAAGCACTGTTCTGCCCTGGCTTTAGGGGGCTTTAGGGTTCAGTTGAGGGCCATGGTCAGATATTCTACAGCTCAGGCAGAAAAAACTTCTTTGAAATGTTCAGGGTGTGAATGTAGCAGCTCAAACTTAGATGCAAGCCTGGAGCTAAAGGTTCTAAACTTCAAGGGGATCATTTTGTTCATAAAATTATTCATGTGCTATAATCTTTTGTCACAGGATTGGAAATGAAGTCATTGTTCAATACAGAGATTAAAATATCATCAGAGGAAAAATAACTGTTAATTTAATAAATCAGTTTGTGCTACAATGAGAAAATAAAATTGATTAGCTATTAAGTTTAGCCATAAAGGATATTCTTAGAAATTAGGGCTATACTGACATTTTCCTTTTAATCTATCATTTGTATTTTATGTAACAAGCAGTGCTGGACTGAGTTATATAAATGAGCAAGTGTTTTATGCAGGTTATTTCAATTATCTGTCCTTGGAGAAGGTGAATGAAAAATAGTTCCAACTCAGTTTTAGCATCTTCATTTTGACAGCTGTAATACACATATTAATGCAGTCTGAAGTGTAGAGGAATGAGTCGATTTGCAAAAGCTTGTGTCCTCTTATTTTTGATCTTAAAAGGAGGCGGGGAGGGGAAGATGAAGAAAAAGAGAAACCAAGGGTATGTTTTGTGTGGCATGCCAAGTCTTGAAACAGCTTGCAGTTGCAAGCTAGCTGAATCAGCACTACATTCATCAGTGGAAGACTATAATCATGGTAATACCTGGAGTATATAGCAAAGAAGAGATAAGTCAAATCTGGCAAGGTGTTGTATGAAGTTTTTATGTCTGGTTTTAAACTGAGTCATAGCATTGTTACAAAGAGTAAGTTTGGCTAAGTACTGTAGTAGGGTTTAATTAGTAAATTGAATTTAAATTTGAAGGATAATTTATCTATATCTTTGAAGCAACATATTGAAAGGTGTGGGGCTTTCACATAGTATGATTATTGGGATGAATTTGCTTCATACAAGATGCAGTTTTAAAATGTACAGTTTTGGTACAAAATTAGTAAATATAAGCTGAAAAAGCCGAACCTGAAGATTTCAGATGACAAAGATCTTTTCCCATTATTTATTGGTTTTTATAGATTACTAGACTTGTAAGGCCAGAAGTGTTGATTAGATAAAATCCTTGTTGCACTTGTTTCTGTGCTCTGTGTTGGTTACTCAAGAACAGTTTTTTCCAACTTTTTTAATCTGTATGCAAGAGGGTAGGCTTTCATCATGTCTATAACATTACAGAAGCTGCTAGATAGTAGATGTAAAGGAAGACTAGTCAAATTCCTTAACGATTCCTTAACGTACAGTTATCTATTAAACAGTGTCAGTCCAGCATGGTTTTGATGTCACTAGGTAGAAGGCAAGCTTTTCTGAAAAGCAGTAAGGGAGATAAAGATTTACAGAGTAATTTTGGAGCTAAGTTTTCCAGTCTGTGTGGAAATTTGACCTATATCTCATGTTCTGCACCCATTTGGCTTGAGAAATAGCTGACAGGAAAAGACAAATACATAAAAATGTTATATAGGGACTACAGACTACAGTAATTTCTCAACACTTTCCTTTAGTTGTTGGAGCACACCAAATATTGGAAATGGTGTTGCCCCAAGCTCATATTCTGTATGATCTTCCTCCCTGCTCTGTCCAGACGTTTTATATTTCTGTTTTTAGACATTGGGTGGGTTTGACAAAGAAATGAATTTGAACTCTTTCATCCTTCGTTTAAGGAGGGATGAGGAGGGGAACGCTCTGATCTGAGATATCACCAGACAGTAAGGCATTCAAAGTGACACAGGGTCCCTGTTGCCAGGAAGAAGTCTTATCAGACAGAGTGAGACTTCAGCTCAGTGTCTTGGCAAAGTGGTTGAGCCACTGACTAAAGACACGTAGAAAGTACGTGAGCTTTAATAGAGAATATCTGTTCATGGTATGGTAAAATAGAGATGTCAGGAGGAACCTTACTCATTTCAGGCATTTTTTAAATAACTGGCAATGGGAAGGGTTACTCTTTTTTTCTGGCACCTTATTTTTGAAGGTTTCCATAATTCAGGTTCTGCTCTTCATCAGACCCAAACTCAAAAATTCATTTCATTTTATTCTTCCTATCATGTTTTCCCCATTTACCAAAAATAAAGTCATGTCATTTTTGAAAATGTGCTTCCTTGAATCTCATCCATTTAATTAGAAAATGGATGCATACAAAAATTAATATCAAGATTTAAATACTATCAGTGGATACTGTAATAGAAGCACTTAATTTCTGGAGTTTGAACTCCCCTGAAGTGCTGTGTTTCCAAGCAGAAGTTAAGGGAGAATTGTTTAAGTGCATTAAAAGAGATTTAGAAGAATTATGGGAACTCTTACATCAGTCTACATAACAAAAGGCTCAAAAGGGGGAAGAGGAGGAAGTGTTTCAACTTAAAAACTTGGAAAGAACTAAGATTTCATTCTCATTTATGTATGTCTATACTTTCTTGTCAGTGTACAATAGTTACATTTGGTGACCAAACTTTTATTCCATTTGACTTAGTCTTTGTTGTAATTCTTTGCAAGCAATTTAATTTTAAAATGTGAAGACTTCAAGCCTGTTTCTTACTGAAGTCTAAGGCAGTTGGTTTTGATGGAAGCAGGATTAGGCAACTGGACTCCCTTCCCTGTGTTAACTCTTCATCATGTGGTACAGTGCCTCTCACTTACCCAGCCACATAAATAGAAATGGAAAGCATATTGCAGGGTTTCTTAATCACATGCAAATTCCATTCACAAGCCTGTTTTCAGAGCAGACTTGGAGATTTAACTATACAGTTTCTGTTAGTTTCAATAGGAGCTGTGTGGCTAAATCCTCTGAATTGGTTCTGGAGAGAAAAAAAAAGGCAAAAAAAGGCAAAAAAATCCCCAAAAACCCATGCAGGACTTGTCAGCTCAAACCCCTGGCACATTTAGCTGCTTTTTAGGATGGGATCTTGAGACAGATTTTCTGGCAAAAAAATTGAGGTTGCTGGTGAATGAGAAAACAGGAGCTGTTGAGTTCGTCTAAGGTACTCCTCTTTAAAGCCTTGAAAGTATCAAGTAATAATGAGCAGAGACATGGCTGGGAAAATCATGATATCCCTTCTATCCAGATTCAGAACTACGAGGCGTTTTTAAAATGTGTTTGCAGAACTAATCTGGGGAAAGTATGAAATTTGGACTAGCTGTGCTTTTTGGCAAGACTGAGCACTGCTGTGCAGGACAGTAACTATTCTTATATTTCTCTGCTTATAGGTAAGCACATGCAATTAGTTTTTACAGGTGTAGTTTTGACAGGTTGGGATTAAAATTTCCAAATTAATCTTTTTGGTTTTTTTGTCCTTTCACAGACAATATTCTCACCTGAAGAGAGATGGCAGAAATCAATTCTCCTGTAAATATCAAGGAAAAGGTAGGTTCACGTAACAGTACAGTGCAAACCAAAATGATATTTGCATACATATTTCATCCCTGCTCCTTCAAACACTGTTCATGTACTTAACTTTTTAATATGCACTGACTGTGCATAAAGTTAAGTACACAGGCAGATATTAATAGGATTAGTATATTTATCTTTTTTGATGAGAAACATTTTTGCTTTTCTGCGAAGAAACAATGTTTTGTCAGACAGTCTTCTCTTACTCCTTTGTGATTCTTGTGCACACTGATGCTGTGGAGTATAGCACTCTAATGATTGCTGCGGTACAAAATAGAGCCTTTGAAGAAACACACCCTTTAGAAAATAATTTTTCTGACCAAAAATGGCACACTTGAACTACTTAAAGGCAATTCCTTAAATTACAGGGCCTGAAAAGAGTAGATTTTTTTTCTTTTTTTCCCTACTTTTAACTGCATTGTGTGTGCTTGAGTATGTCTTCTCCATATCCTGGCTAGTGCTAGAGCCTCAGCACCCTTTCAGAAGCAATAAAGCTAATTAGTATACAACTATAAGGTGGATCAGGAGATCTTTTGTGTCTATCAGCAGGCAGGTTGTGAAGAGACAATTTAACCCATAGATACTCCCCACCAACCTAAATAGGAAATCAAGACATCTGTCAAAGAATAGGAAAAAAGGAGAGAGCAAGAAGTGGGAACACTGTAGGAGTATAACATGATAGGGTTGTGTTTTAAAAGAATCCAAGATTTTGAGAATTCACCTGAATTGTCATCTTTTAGGTATTGTTCTGTTTCATGTGGGAAGAGCCATGGAGCTTTGCATTTGGGAAATTCAGAGAAGGCTAATGAGTTCCTTGATTTACAGCTTTATTAAGCCCAGTGTGGCACTCTGATGCAGATTTTAAGGCAGTGTGATGAATGTTGAAGGCCAGAATCCAGTTCTGTCAGTGAGCCCAAGTTTGTCTAAGTATCAGTGAAAAGTTGATTAGGCCCATTCACTTCATGAAAGATGCACAAGGAGAAAGGGTCAAGACTGATTAAATATCAAGGAAATACAGAACAGTGAGGGCAGTGTGAAACTGAGGAAGGTAGTAATCTTCTGCTGTATCACAAGACCTGCCTGTGACAGGTTACACATCCTGCAGAGCAGCATCCATGTGAAATACTATCTTCTTTCTAAGCCTGTCAATAGAAAAGAAGAGCATAGAAATTTGTATATGAGTCCTTGGATTAACTCTTTCCCTGAGCTGACAGAAAAAATTATTCAGCAGAAGAAGATTTGCCTAGCTTCAGTTTTGCAATTAGGTGGACTATAACAAGGAAAAAAATAATTTAGCCTGAGGAGTATGTGCAAGATACTGTAAATGGGATTTTTCTGCATTGGAAAGCCACAACAAGTATGTTATATTAGATCTTAATTCTCTGTCACCACAGCATGACAAAGAAAAGAAATAGCCTTGAACTAGAGATCAGCAGTTAGATTTTTAGTTAACTTGCTGTTTTACTTCTGAGTTCACAAATAATTAACTTTTCAGTTGGAACTGATCATGACTAGTAGTTAATGGCTTGGACATCACATTTGATTAATAAAGACTTGATGAACCATGACAACTACAGAGCCTGCAACTAGGTTTCCTCAAGTTTCAGATTGCTAATGGTGTTTCCTGAAAGAACAGTTACAAACTGTTACCTGCCCACCAGTACATGGATGAAGCTGCCAAGGAAACAGCAGAGCAAGTGATGATTTATACTAAGTAGTTCAGGTGGGAATGAGTTTCTGTTCAGACTGTTGTGTCCATCTTTTGCTGCTTATTCACTTTATTTGCTTTCAAAAGGATGTAGAATTTTTTGGTTTATATACCCTGATGGGAAACAATTCCTTACCTGTTTTACTGCCCAGGTGCCTGCCTTTTGAGTAGTTTTTCCTCATATTTGTTGTTAACTCTGGAATCACTCATTTGCTTGAGGATTTGCATGTCAACATGAATCTGTATTTCAGTGATGAGTATCTTCTTTAGCAACAGCACAGGGTTTAAATGTTGAGTGGTATGATGGATTTTGCAATAGAAAGTTATCAAATCCTATCCCCTAGTGCCAGAGTGCTGGGAGGTAAATTACGGTAACTCTCGAAATGCAAGTCAGTAAATCAACTTCAGTTCTGCCCATTTACTATGTAGCTTTATTTTTTTTTTTATTAATTCAATCAAGTTCTACAAGTGCAGAATTTTACAAGTCATGTTTATCTTTTCTGTCTTTTGCTAGTTAAGAGTGAAGAACTGTAACAGGACTTTTATTCACACTAGATACCTGCTATTCCAAGACTGATATCTGCTGGGAGTGTATCTAAAATCAAATGTTCATGAGCATATACATTTTCAGGCAGGAAAATAATTGGATCCATACACTTGGTTATAAATAGTTCCTTTCTTTATTCCTGTATCTTCCCTTAGTATTTAGTGTCACTAAATCACTGTGCCAAAGTGAAAACTTAATTTAACAGCAATTAACATTTTATTGCAAACCTACTAAATAAAAGCTTAGTGAACAGCTAAAACCTCATGAACTTTACACACAGAAGTTAGCATGCTCAGTTTGACATTTCACCTGGGCAAGTCTGTCTTGTTTTTAAAATGAGATTGCGATGGCATAGAACCTTCATTTGACATCTCATATTTGGTTTACAGTATGGTGGCTCTTTGTAAGCAACAAGCTGAGTAACTCTATAGCAACTGTAGCTTTAGAACCCTCTGAGTTGCACTAGAACTACAAGGAGAGGGTTGAACAGATATGTCCTGCTGAGTTGGCTTTAATTATATTTACATGTAGACTGCTAAAATGTAAGGACTTAATTTGCACATTTGAAAAGCAGACATACTTATGTTGCCCTGGTAAGAGTCAAAATCAAATCCCTTTCCCACTTAAGAAATGTAGAACAAGATGTGGTCATGCTACACAACACTGAAGCAGTGAGTTTAGATTTTACTTTTATCCACTTTATTTGGGAGAGTATTTCTAGGAAACAAACTCAAGTTTTATAAATTTATTTACTTTTGCTGAACTCCACAAATCTATTGCCATCAACACAAAGATCAGCAGGCCTTGTTAAAAAGAACAAAATAGAATACAGTTTCTTTCCAGTTCTCCCTTTCTTCTACCTCAGTGCTTGCAGATCTTAATATAAGACTTTGATCCTGCTAGGACCTGAATGGAACCAAAGGAGCGTACATCTGCACACAAATACTCATTCTTGTAAGTTTCTGCAAAAGTAGAACACAAGTTTCTCCTTAAAGTGAACATTGTTTCTCTGTGACAAAAATGTAGTACAGAAGCCATGAAGTTTTAGCATAATGTTGGTTTGTGTTTTAGTTTGTTTTGGTTTTTATTTTTGTTTGGTTGGTTTTTTTAATGGTGGCCTTTCACCATGTTCTCTCCATGGTCAACTTCTAGTTATTCAAGGAAATAAGATATCTGCCACTGTTTCAAAGGTGATATGAGGCTGAGGCAGACATTTGGGGCATTCTGCTCATACACAGGCTCTGTAAGACCCTACTGCTAATTTGACTCATAGGAGAATGCTACTGTAGTACTGGTACTTGTATAATTCATTCTTGGCATTTCAGATTAAATAGTTCATAGAGTCAATAGGTTAAACATTCTGTTCTATATTTTTTTTCCTTCTCCTGAGAGATTTATATAAATATTGGCCTGTGATGTCAGGAAGGCTAGTGGAAGTTTCCATAGTTGGCAGAGGCTCCTGCAGCTGTGATACTCTTGTGGGGAGCCAGGATTGTTGTGATTACCATATTTTCATGCATATAACCCACAGATTTTCTGGAATAACTCAAGTTCTGCATCTCAGCAACCACAAGGGTCGTTACATGCTTACATAGCTAGTACAAGGAGAAGCTTACCATCAGGATCTCTCACAGAATAATTCCCTCTGCCCTGACCTTTGCTAGTCTTCCTTCACTATGCCACACTCCCTCTTGCCTCTGATTATACTAACCTCTGTGCCTGAAAATGCAGCTTAACTAAGGACTTGTTTTCTAGTATCAGGGTTTTCAGAGACTGAGAGTTATACATAATCCAGATCATATGCACACAAATTCACTGGATTAAGGGATAAAATTGTCCAAACTCATTGGTTAAAATCCAAAATAATTCCATAAAATTAATGGAGGTATTCAAGCATTAAAATAGTACATCACCAGAAAAGGTGCTGAGATTCTGAATAGCGAGGCCTCTAAAGAAGCAGCAATTGGAGTAATACAAGCAGTGTGTTGTCTCCTGCAGCAATTAGACCATCTTAGTTTAACAAGAGAGGAGTGACTATCAGGCACTCCACAGGATAGCTCTTCAGTTCTTGACACCTGATTTTGGTTTTGATCCAAAGAAATATTGGGAATTGTTCAAATATCAGAACTTGTTGTTGACCCTATCTTTTTTTTTTTATTGTGTGTCTAAAACATGTTTGAACAATTGAGATCTGGTGTCAGCTGGAATTAGCAAAATATCAATTCAGATGAAAATCCTCTCCTTGCGATTCTGTTAGGAGTGACGTTTTGCTGAAGTTCTCCTGAAAAGCTTGCTTTTTTGTTTGTCCTTTCAAGTATCAGAACCGTTGGAGCAGATGGACAGGTTTGTTCCATAAACTGCAGGAAGGAAATTTTATTCAGATGTGTTTTGGGGGGGGTTTCACAGTTTTGTTTGCATTATGCCATAACTGTGGTTTTCATAAGCAATAGTTGGCATGCAAGAAAATAGTAGGAATCATAGTGGAAGGAATGGAAGTAGTATATAAATTCTAAATCATACATTACAAAAGCAGATAGTTTCCAATCTGTGATTTCACTAGGTCTCCGTAAAGTTGACCTTTGCAGCTGTTCCTTGCCCATGTGTTGAAGTAGACGGGCTTAGTCCAAAAAACAGCAAAGTTCATCAGAATGCACTTGTGTCACTTGATGAGCCATTTAACTTGGGTTGAGGATATTGTAGATTCAGGTCTCTAGTGCTGTC